GAAGTACACCACGGTTCTTGAAAGTGTGGGATGAAAGTCCTCTCCTCCACTTCAGCGAGCGACTACTCTGCGAAAGCCAAAACCCACAATGAGAAGGATACATGATGGTCACGAAGTATCCATCACCTTTGTCATCTTGCCAACGGCAGACTTCGGCAAAAAAGTGCCAGAAGGCATTGGTGGCCTTCCTGGTCCAACCATCAGGGATGACAGGATGAATAAAAATGTGATTAGGCTCTGCCTTCAAGATCACTCGCCCAGCGGCCTCAATCGAAGATTGGATAGACTTGGCGCTCCATTCACCAAACAACACAGGTTCACTCGCATCAAGTCCAGAATGGACTGTGCAGGCAGTAAGCCCGGTGAGGCGAGGTGTGATCTCAACGAAATCGCTCTTGCCTGAAGTGAGAGTGTGGTAACAGATCTCATGCTCATAGCAGAACCCAGAACCGGCACGATCAAGAATATCGTCGCCGATGCGGTCGAGTGCCTCTTCCTGAGAAGAGCGTCTCGGGACCTCATCTTCCTTCAGAGGAATGGCCACATCATGCCACGGATCTCCATCACGCCTGACCTTCGACTGATTAACCCGAAGAACGGCACGATGAACTTCAACCAACACCATGGCACCTTCCTGTGACACAACTATGCCTCTGACCCAGGTTCCTTCAGACTTCTTCTTCGACTCATCCTTATGCCAACCAAACACGCGGTCACCCTTCGAGTAAGGACCATCAGACGGCATGACTCTCCGTGCAAGGTCCTTCCGAAGGTCAAGTGATTGTCTAGCCTCTTGATGAGCCCGCATGGCAATCCTCTGGAGTTCCAGAGTGGTTCGATCCTCCTCGGCAGGTTCAGCAGAGAGCTGTTCAGTAGAACTGTTCTCGACATCAAACAAGTCTGGTGGCCGTCTTCCTGTAGCTATCTCCAAAGGAGAATAGCCTGAGACGGTAAGCTGGCAATTTCTTGCCCAAGCCACCTTCTTGACTGCTTGACGAACAGTCACCTTCTCTGCATAACCCTCATCATCTAAGGCCTTGGCCATGATTGCCCAGGTGCGCTTGAAAAGACGCACTGCGGTCTCAGCTCGATTAGGCCAAGGAGTCCGTGGTCCACATGGATACGGAGTAATGCCATGGAACTTGTAGTAAGACATGAACTGTGGCGTGAAAAATGCTTGATCTCCTACGATTCCCTTAGGAACGCAGTTGTTCTGCTCTGTCCATTGTCTAAAAGCTCCCAGAGTCTCTGGCGCTTCCAGGCTTGTAAGAGCCGTAGCCCACAGAAGATTTGAAGCACCATCAATGATGACCAAAGCCAAGTAGGCTTTAGTACCGCACTTGATTTCTTCATGATCAACAAAAATGAGATCACCGAAGGATGATGCTCTTAACCCTGCGATTCTGGCTCGCGGAGGCGTAGGCACCGAGGTGCTGCAAACACGACAGCCTTTGACAATGCGGTCGTACTTGTCATAGATCTCTCCTGGCAGACCAAGCATGCTGTTCCTGCGTCGAAACTGAGCAGGACTCATGTGGTAATGCTTCACATGCAACTTGTAAAGCTCAACATCATTGTTCAGCTTTTCCAACATGCGCTGATACTGCGGAGAAGCCCTTGAGACCTCGTGGCCTGGCAACGGAAGCGCGATCCTCCTAGGTTCTAGCTACTGTGGCTCTGGGGCCTTCGGAGGACTCGGAGGAAGCAAATCTGCATCCCCCGGTTCGGAAGGTTCGTACTCTTGAAGATCCGGATCATCCTCAGGAGCAAGAGGAGGAGGAGCCGGTTCCTCGGGTGCCTTTCCATGTGGAAAGCTTCCCTTGGCTCGAATCCTTCTCTTTGCCGGTGCCTTTCCCTTGCGGAAAGCTTCCGGATGCTCCTGTGTTCTTCGAGCTGTCTTCAGGCTTACCTGCGCTAACCATGTCCTCTGGAGATCCTACCTTTCCACGGGTTGGATCCTTGGACTTGGCTGGCACCGAGGTTCTACTCTCGATGCCACCAGGCAGAATCTTGAAAATGGTCTTGCCTTTCCAAGAGTCAGTAGTTCTTGTTGAAGAAGGCTCAGAAGAACGCCAGTCATCTTCTTGAGTAACGCTCTTTCCCTTGGAGAACTCCATGATCGTCTTGCGCTTGGTGTCCAGATACTCCAACGGAATTGGCACATAACCCGCCTTGGGTTCGTACTTGACTCTTCTCATCTTCTTGTGGATGCGAATCATTTCCATGTCGGCTTCGTTGATCACCCATTCATCATCAGTCGCCAACACGAGATTGTCAGGTACCTGTTCATGAGAACAGCATCCCTCGGTCTTCTGATGGAAGCCGTACTCGTAGTGGGAGAAGTAGGTGAGGAAGCTCGACTTCTTATGCTTGCTGAAACGCACATTCCACATCAGCTGACTGAGTTCAAGAAGATCAAGTACCAAGTGTGAGCTGGGTGCAACCTTCAGCCTCACATCCTTGATTCCCAGCACAGGGCTGCTGAGTAAGGCCTTTTCCGGATGGAGCTCGAACTGGAAACGAAGATTGCGCATCTGAGGTAAGGACATGAGAATGGGAACATGCCCTTGTTCCACAATGTCGAACTCTGTGGATTGAACTGCAAAGTCCCGGTCGTACATGCAAATGACCAACTTCTGGTTGCATTTGGTAGACTCGGAATTGGCAAAGGTGAACTGAGAAGTAGTCTCAGCAATGGTGTACCATATGCCACAGTTCTGGTTCTTGTCACAGAACTCCATGAGGTCCTGTGCGGCCACTCTCGAAGCCATTGCTCTCGTGCATCCCAGGTCCAACACCATCGCGGTCGGCGTCAAGGGCTGAGAGATGAAGGCTTCCTCGATCTCATTGATCTTCTCTTCGGTGGCCATGAAAGAAAAGTTCGGAGTGTTGAGATGTTCAACGAAGAAGGTTGTGGCGGCTGTGGTGCCGCTCGGGGCAGCATCAGCAAGCTGGCTCTGTCCGTCTTTTCCGGACTTTCCATCTTTTCCATCCTTGCCAAACTTGCTCTTTCCTTTGCCCTTCTTTCCTTTCTTTCCTTTTCCTTTGGCTGCATAGGATTCCTCAGACTCGTACCAGGACCAGTCATCCCAGGACTGATCGCTCCAATGGTAATCTTGCCATTGTCCTTCTGCTTGCCATGCTTCTGATTCTTCGGCAAGATGTGACCTGCCTTTCTTCCTTTTGAAGAAGCGCCTTCCTTTGGATCCTTTGCCACCTTTTCCTTTGCCTTTACGGTGGCCCTTGAATCCGCGCCTCATCTTGCGGCCTTGGAAGCGCCGCTGGAACCATGAATAGTTCTCGTCGTCGTAGACCCAGAAGGCGTCCTCATCCGCTTCGAGGAAACCTTCGGTGCCATCTTCCTCGTCCTCGACCCAGTAGCCTTCATGATCGTTCAAATATCCTTCATCGATCACAAGGAAGGTCTTGCGGCCACCGTGGCCGGAAGGAGCGAGGAGTGGATTGTCGACGGTAGTCTTGGTCGTACAGAAGATCTCCAGGTAGACTTCGCGAAGCTCGGTCGTGTTGTAGTCAGCCAGGGCCCGGTTCCGATGTGCCATCAGTGATGTCAACACCTGCCGCTGATCCTGTGTCAGATCAGAAAGGGACACAAAGATCAAAGCGACCAGGTTGGCCGTGATCGGAATGGTCCGAGCATGCTGCTCTCTGAGCCGTTCGTTGGCTCTCTCCATTGCCTGAGCTGGCGTAATATCTGCTTGTTCTTCTGGAGGAAGTCCTACTATGAAAGCTCTGACCTCTGCATTGTTCGGATCCTCAATCGGTAGATAGGTATCGTTCCACGCTTCTTCCATTCTCCGAACAGAGAGTTGAAACCTGGTAATCCAACGAAGCATGTCTCCGTTCCCACGGTGCATGTTCATGAACTGCTGGAAGCGGTAGAGAAAAACATTCGCTGCTCCCTTCACGAAAAGCGGCCGCAGGAAACTCTTGAAGTACTTCACTCCGTTGTTCGGGTCCTTCAGGCGATCTCTGTCGAGAAGTCTCTTGTGGATTGCTGCTTCACCTTCTAGCCGATTTCTCAAAGCTGGTCCACGCTTATCATTGTCTAGCTCAGTAATGTCACACCAGTCATCGATCGCATCTTCATAGGCAAACCAACTGCTTCTACCATCATAAGATGGAGGTACTTTGGTGGTCACCTGCTGGAAAGCTGAAAGACGGTGTAATTCATTGAGATGACGATGATTAGTCGCGAAAGATTCATTTCCGTGGAGGAGGTAGTCATCATCTCCTCCTTCATGCTCAAAGATAGTCGCAGAGTGGCTAGCCATTGCGCTGTTCTTGGATCGAGCCCCGGGAGAAACCTCTTCCGGTTATCTTCACCTGAGTGAAGTGTGCCGGAGAGACTCCGGTCACCTTCACCTGAGTGAAGCACACCGGGTATTCCGGTTGCCTCCACCTGTGTAGAGAGTACCGAACGGGTACCTCCACAAGTGTGAAGCTTCCCGTTTCCCGGGAGCTCCGCTACCACGTTGAGATGTAACCTGGACGTGTATCCCCTCGCTAGGCGTACAGGAACACAGGCACTCAGGTGTCTCTTTTGCTACAGGCGCACAGCTGTAGTCCACTGCACTAGAACCTTGAGCAACAGGCATGGATACATGCAAGTGATACGTGAAACAGACAGGCACCTGGATGTGTAACATTCAGTGTTTCACCCCCCCTCCCCTTCCGCCCCCTTTCCCCCCCCACCCGCCTTGCCCCCTTCTTCCTCTTCAACCTTGGCATCTCCGCTCCAAAGTGCTCCTTGTTCCTACTTCGCGTGATCGTCGCGCAGCCTCGCGTGCATCCCCCTCTTCCTCCCGTTTTATCTCACAATCTTAGAAGCGCACCAGCGAAGCTTGTCAACTTGAAGGTTCCCGTTTGGTCTCACAGAACTATACCTCCGGGCCTCGCGGACACCAAACGACTTTGCCTGTACAAGTGCATTCGGCTTCTGGTCTGTCGCCCACGGGGTCGGCGGCTTGAGCCGGAGGCTCTTAAATGTTACTGCATGTGTGTCGTCCCCTGCTGTTTCGAAGAGCAGGTCGCGTAGCATGTTGATGACCTCGTCAAGCGATGGTGTCGGTGTGGCTCTGGGTTCACTGTTACGCCCCGGTCGCTGCATGAGGCTGCTGTGGTCAGGTCTGTTGGTCTGGTAGTGCTTGCTGTGGTGTTGTCCGGTGGGGTGACGCGGTTACCGAGTGGCCTGCTGTCTTGGAGGATGCCCAGCAGGCTTGTAGCGGCTGGCCTGGAGGCTTGGGCTCCTGACGTGGTTGGCGGCGGTTTGTCGGCTGCGGCTTGTCCTCTGCGTAGGGTGCGGTCGTGCAGTGGGTTGGTCGGTGGTGGTGGCGGCGGTGGTGGTGGTTGTTCTCCCGTGGTTGCTGCTGTCGGTGTTGTTGGTCTAGGGACCGTGGCGGCTTGCGCGGTGTTGCCTGTGGAGGCCGGTGTGGCCTGCTCTCCTGGGCTTTGTGGTGGTGGCTGTCTGTGGGCTGGGGGGCTGTCCTCCACGACTGTCTGGCTCACCCCGCTGCTTGGACTGGCTGCGTGTAGGTCTTCGGCTGTGGTGGCGCTGGTCCCCCCGATGTCCTCGCACTCCACTTCTTCGTTGAGGTGAATGTCGATCACCCATTCCCCATCCTGCCATATGAATGTGAGGACGTCGCCGCTGCAGAGGATGGCAGCGTTGAACTCGCAGTTTCCGGGCGAGGGGGCTGAGATTACCTCTGCCACATACATCTGCGGGTCGGGCCTGGTGAGGCTAAGGGTGGTCCCGATCGAGATGGGAGGTGCGTGCCTGGCGATGGTGCTGGGCCCCTGCGCGCGAGCTACGCCGTTGTTCATGTCCCGTGTTAGACATTGCGACGCTTGATGGCCAGGTGAGGTTTGTTGCTACCCCGTTCCCAATGATGATATCCCCTACTCACCCAGTCCCCGCCTGGCCGATCTCGCGTGTGTCGGTGCAGGCTTTCCGTGGGTTTTTCCACGGCAACACTGCGTGTGTTCCCGAGCTGGTCGTACATTATTGTGACTCAACAAAGGTATGTAGGCCTAAATGACGGTTGTTTACAGCTCAGGTCCCCCTTTTGCTTGTGCGAGTGTCGGTTTGGTGGAGCCTATGTAGTTGTGGCAGTGCGGGTTCCCTGGGGGAAGCAGCTTGGGCAGGGTTTATCCACAACACATAGGGGGAATCACACAGCTGGGTCCCCGCACTGATGGTGGTAGTGGTGCTGTGGTGGGGCTCCGGTAGTTACTGGGCCAGGAAGCAAAGGGGGCAGGGTTACAAAGAACAGTAAGGGGGAACGTCACACACTGTACCGGAGTCCCCGTGGAGAGGTGCTGGTGGTGGTTGTGCTGCAGTTGTCGGTGAGAACTTCATGCGCCGTCTTTGCCCCCGGGTGCTAAAACTCAACATAGCACGGCTGCTTAAAAGGTAACAGCATGGTCCCAAGGGCTGTTCCCCGCTTTTAATGCGGGTCGAAAGCAGCATGCATTCGTCGCCTACGGCGCGTTGCCCTATTTTCAAGGCTCACATCGCTGTCCCCGTTCAGGCGGTCTTGCTGTTGGTTGCTTCTCCCGGATCGGGTTGTAGGCGGCGAGGTTAAGTCCCCGAGTGCTGAGCGTCGGCGTCGTGGTAAGCCCCACGCTTCATCTTCAGTGTCGGTGCCAGGGATGTCGTTGGCGTCCCACTCGTCGAAGGCTTCCCGTCGCACGGCCGTCACGTGGCGTCTTCGGTCGTCAGTGGCCCAACCGCATCTCCGGCTGGTCTCCATAGTGCTTCTTCAGGCCCCGGGCCGTGGGCAGCTGGTGGCGGGTCCCATAGCGCGGTCTCTGCTTCCTCCGGCACAAGCTGGATGCGTGCCCGCCAAAGTGCTGTTGTCCACTGTTGCAGTAGTTGCAGGGCTTCCGTGGCTAGCGGGACTTGGTCCCCGACCAGGGTCGGCATCAGCTGTTGCAGAAGCTCTTGTGCGCGCAGCACCATGAAGGGCGTGGCATCACTGCTGGAACCGCCCAGAGCTGCAGTGGGTCCCCCGCGTTCCTCCCGAGAGACCCTCTGCCTTTTGGCTGCCGGTTGCCCTTCTGCGGTTGCGATGTCCCCGGTGCCCTGCGGTGGTGGTAGTACTTGATGTAGGCCAGCTGTTGCCGGGGTTCCCCCGTTGTCTCACCTGTATTGGTGCGGCTATGAATGGCGGTACTGGCTGCCGCTGTGTGGCTGTGGGTGCCGGCGTCAACGGCAGCTAGGGGGAAGTGTCGCTCACTGGCGGGCTGTGTCGTCTCTCCGCTGTCTGCTTGCGTAACTGTGGGCTGTTGGTGGTTGGTGGCGGGCTGCTCTGAGTCTGCTGTTGCGGCTTCGATGGCCAGGATGGTGCGCAGCATTGCTTCTTGCGTCTTTTCGCTAGGCAGGAGCCAGGCTGGTCTCCTAGGAGGGCAGGTGTCTTGCGCTACTGATCTGGTCTCCAGGTTATCAATGGGTCCCTGGAGTCCCTGTCTGCTGGAGCCTGCGACGGCTGTTGCCATGCTTCGCGGAGTTGGCGGATGTTGTGGTACTGTGGCGGTTGTGGTTGTGGTTGCTCCTGGTTGTGTTCGGAAGTCTGCTGGGGCTCCGGCTGCTGGTTGCTCTGCAGGTGCATGTTGGTCTGCATGAGGACGGTGGCTTCTGGGCTCTGTGTCCGCTTGTTGACTTTGCTTGGTTTGCTTGTGGTGTGGCGGGTCTGCTGTAGCTTCTCCTGCTGGTCTGCTGTCGTCCTTCTGTCTCTGTCGGGGAACAGGCTGCTGTTCAGGGGTCCCACATCATGGCGGTGGCTGTGGTACTGCAGTGGTTGTGGTTGTGGTTGCTCGTGGTTGAACTGGGGGTCGAGTGGGGTCCCCGTTTGTCGCTGTGTGATAGTGTCGGCATGTCGTTGTGGGAGTGGTCTGCAGGAGCTCTGTTCTGTCACCCTTGTCCGGTGGGCCTCCGCTCTCACTGCCATCGCTGCTGGGCCAACTCCGTTCCGTGTCGTCCCCGCTGTCTGTGGCCCCGTTTGGGGGGGATGGTGGTGCGAGCGGGGGCCTGGCCTTGGGCACAGTCGGGGCATGGAGGGCTCCCCGTGGGTTCCTATGGAAGTTCCACTCCAGGCGCCCTGGACGGCCCCTCGTCCACCTCTATGAGCCAAGCCCTCGGAAGCAAGGATCGTCAGGTCCCACTTCTGACGGTCGCAGCTTGAGCGGGGTGGCCAGCATGGACACCCTTCTGGAAGGTAGAGGTCGTGGCCGGCAGTATTGGTTGGGTCGAGGAGGACTTGCGGGTATGTGCCTTGCGCCACAAAGGGGCGGCCCCCACGTGAGGTCAGTATGACCCGCATATCCCAGCGTCCGTTTCCCCGATAAAGACACACCAAATTGTTGTTCCGCCACAGAGGGAACGTAGGGGGGAGTGTTGGCGGTGTGCCTGCTTCCAGCCACGTCACAAGGGCCTTGTGCGGCCGAAGGTGCAGGCGCTGACGGTACTGTCTGGGGGTGGCTCTCCTGGCTGCGTGCGGTTCGTGGCGGCTTTGCCGGGTGCGGGGTGGCCGCAGGAACAGCAGGTTCTACAGTCCCTCTGGCCTCCGCTGCTGCTCGCGCTGCCGTGCCTTGCTTGCTCCGTGGGTCTTCAGCTGGATGCGCTGGCATGTTGTATTCGTACGGTTCAGTTGTCCCCGCTGCTGTGGTTGGCGCTGCTGGTTGTGGTTCGTGCAGTTGCGGGATGTCCCCGTGGGTAGCGGCTGTGGTGTCGGTGTTGGTACTGGGAAGAACCGGTGGCTTGTAAATGGTTAACATACTTTACGAGGTTAGCTATCTGTTTACAAACAAATGTAAAGGGTTAAGTTGGTTTAGCTATAGGGGTTAGCATAGCTTAGAAAAGGGGGTTAGTCTAAGTAACATAAGGGGTCCCTTATACGTCTAAAACCTTCCAAACCCTGAACATAAAAGCCTCAAGCCCTAAACCCAAACCCTGCAAAACACAAGTTTTTTTTTGCAGCAAAACACAAGTCTTTTTTTTTGCATGCCGGTCGTTCACGGTCTTCCGGCTATAGAGAACCTCACCCTCGTTTAAGGCCGTAGCCTCAGAACTTCTGCATTTCAGCAGATATATATAATATACTGGGAGGCCGTAGCCTTCTGCATCCCATTCTGCATTTCTGCAGCAAAAGAGGCCGTAGCCTGGAAGAAAGCTTGCTTTCAGGCTGAGTTTTCAGACTCCTCTTCCTCATGCTCCTCTTCTTCAGCCACTTCCTGCTGGGAATTCCCATGCACATCTTCATACTCTGCAGAGGACTGCTCGGGCACGGCAGGGAGAGCATGCTCGTCCCCGGACTCCACGATATTCATATATTCGTACTCCCTCCATGCCCTTCTGTAGTTGCTGCGACGGACATCCCTCTCATTGTACCACTTGATTGTGCATTTTGCACACCAGTGGTTCTGGTGTGCATTTTTCACTCTGCAGCAACTGGGGTCACCGCATTCCGTGCAGGGTCCTGCACACGGGTCCATCCTCAAACGGCGGCTGCAGGCGCCTCCCATTTCAAACTGCACGTGTGCAGGAGCTTATAAGGATGGCCTTGGCCGCGATGCACTCGCAGTCTGTTTTTAGAGTTCGCAGCACCTTTGGCCTTGGCCGGATATCACAGCAATCGCCCGAAGACAGGCGAACGGCAAGCTCTATAAATAATATTATAGCATTTGAATCACATGGCGGCAGCAGATTTCACACATGATATAAGGCACATGAGACAGCATGCTTGACGACCCCCATACATGCCCGATGACCCAGTGAAAACCCTTCGCATGCCTCTGCATGTTTCCTTGCGATGCACTCGTGTGTCAGCAGCTACTTTGCTGCATGGTATATAATGATCTATCTGTGCAGCATGCTAACCGATTTTCGGTGCAGTGCTCATGTGTGCATACACACATAGAAGCAAAAAGTTGGTTGGCATCGCTTTGGAGCCCTGCACAGCTGGCTTAGCAGCCGTTCTTCTTCTTCCACAGCAGAATGGCCTCTCTGTGGGCCTCTCGCTGGCACTCTACCACTTGCTGCTCCGAGAAGCCTTGCTGCTTTGCCCACGTTCCGGCTCGCTTGGACATGCGAGAAGCATAGTTCTTCTGGATGCAGCCGTCCTCCCAGACAATTTGGAACTTTCGCTTTCCATGCGAGCCTTGGGCTTGCTGCTCCTTTGCTTTGCCTTGGCCTTTCTTCGAAGCACTCTTGTCCTTGGACTTTCCTTTGCCTTTGCCCTTGCCCTTCTTCTTTGGATCTTGGCCTTGGCCATTCGTTTTTGTCTTGTTCTTGGCCAAGTTTCCTTGGCCACTCGCTGCAGCTGCAGCAGCCGGCTTCTTCAGAATCCCAGCTTTGCGATCTTTGAGCTTTCGGAACAAATCTTCGTCCTCGAGATCGTTCTCGGCAGGGAGCGACTCCGTTGCTTCGGGTTCTTCGGCTGGAGGCAGGGCCAGCTGCAAGGCCGACTGTCGCCCTGGCGAGGTCTGCTGTGTCGCAGCCGAAACCGCCTGGGCTGGGTTGCCCAGAGCAAAGCCGACCCCGGCACTGCTGCTGCTCAGGTCGCCTCCTGTGATGGAGTTCCGTCCAGGGGTCCTGCAGCAGGTATACAAATGGAAAAGCATGCATGGGCTGTGTATACAGATGCAAAACAAAGGAAAAGATAAAAGAAGCATGCAGTCCTCCTTTGCAAGATATTGGCGCCTGCAGCAAGCTGCAGCTCCCTTCGCCCACCATCCTGGATGGCATTCTGACCGCAGCCCTGGTCCAGCATTCTTTCCAGTCGCCCGAAGCACTGCTCCATGCGGCTCTGGAACTCGTTCGCATGCTGCTCAGACACGGCGGCCTGGCCATCTGGCCTCTTGTTCTTCTGCAAGAGCTTGGAAGTAGATCGCATCGGAATGTGAGCTAGCCAGATCCCAGCCCTCACGTCTTTGCCCATGGGCGGGTCCTCAGCCTTGTAGGCTCGGTCGAACAGAGCCTTCAGCAAGCTGCTGGGGTCATCGGGATACGTGAGCAGGCCGACCTCAGTCGGCTCTGCATCCGTTTTCACGGATTCCCAAGATCTCTTGAAGACCTGGACCTCTTCGTAGATCTCTTCATATGTCGGCATCTGACTGAGCTCGCCGGCTGCCAGTGCCAAGAGGAAGGCCAGGCCTTTCTTGACCGTCTGTTCTGTGAGGTTCCTCAGGCCCAGCTGCAGATACCTTTTCAGAAGGATTTCCAGCCTTGCCGGTGCTGGCGACTTTTCCAGCATAGACCACTCAGTGACCGTGATGAAGTTTTCCGGCTTCAGCAAGGTCTGCGGCTTGCTTTCCTCCTTTCGCTTGTTCGGCGTATATGTAGTATCTGGCGGCGGTGTTGCAGCCGTGGCCGTTGCCAGAACTTTGGCTTCAACTTTTTCAAGCAACCGTTCTGACAGGGTGCTCTCGAAGCTCAGATCCTGGATCGTCTGCTTCCTTTGCATGGCTTGCCCTAACGACAGAGAGCCAAGGCTCTCCAGCCGGGTGCACCAGCTGTTCATCAAAGCATCGACCGAAGCCTTGCTCCCACTTTGCGCCCACTCGGCCATAGGGCTTAACTCGGCCTGCAACTCTCGGGCCATCTCGCCGTGGCGAGATATATATAGCCGTGGCCAGAAAAGGAGAATCCAGAAGCCCCCTCTATAGGAGCCAAGATGCTACAACCCCACTACAGGAGCCAAAATGGCAGCTGCATGCACATCCATGGAAAAAGAGCATGGTATAGGTCGCCTGCATGTGTGTGTATTTGCAGATTCCCAAAATCCAGGATGCATGCAGGATCAATCTTTTTCATCGGAGGGAAGCAGGCAGGATGATTTGTCGTCGGCCTCTCCATGTGCATGCACACAGAAAGTCTCTGCATGGCAGCAGATGCAGGCTGTCTATGCAGGAGCACTCCCCCACGAGGTCATCGCAAAGCAGAGAAGAAATGGAATGCACAACACTGTAGGCTTGCCCTGCCAGTTCCACGAATGCCCAGACAAGGGCACACTCCAAGCAACCGTTCCCTTCAAGCAGCACCGCATCGCCACGACATATCCGTTCCCCGGAGGGCAGCCTGACTTTTTCTGCCACATGAATCACTTGTGCCGAGGTCAGCTCCGGAATGATTTTGCGAAGTGCTGCCGCCTTCCTCCGAGAAGCTGGCTTCGGGTCCTGCAACTGCAGCATCGCTGCGAAACAATCAGCTCTTGCCAAGCAATATAGTTCTTGTCCAAGAACTTCTCGGAGAAGACCCTGCTCGTAAGCAGAAGTCTTCTTGATGTCCTCGGCGAATCTCTTGATAGTGCGATGCTTTCTTTCGTGAGTGTAGCACTGAACCATGAAACCCCACTTTTCCAGGTGCGAACCGAAGTGGAGAAGCCAATGGAACTTGGAATGCATGCGGTCCTGCCACTCAGCAGCATGCACTGCTTGCAAGAAATCGGAAACGTGCTTTCTCATCTGGCCGGGCGAAACCGCTCCCTCACTGCGAGCTCTCTGGCAGCATGCCACGAGTTTGTCCAGCTGCAAGAAACATTGGATCGCTTGCACTGCCTCAACATTTGCATTTGCCCTGGCGAGCTGCCTGAAGAAACAAGCCAATATTGGAGACAGTGTCAAGCCTTCGGAGGCCGTGCATTTAAAGGTCTCGGCTTCCTTGCATGCTTTTGCTCGGGACTGACCCAGCATCCCTTCGGGCTTGGCCGAGATGTTCCGGGGCAGGGTCCACTTGGCCACGTACTCGTCGGCGATTTCCCAGAGATTGGGAAACTGCTTCTGCAAAGCTGCCAAAACAAGCCAGGTCACTGTCTGGAAGACACCGGAGACCAGCAGGGTGTGCATGCTGTCGTGGCAATACTGTGAGACCGGCCGGACCAGCCATCGTTGATCCTCTTGTTGCAGCAGGGAACAACTATTATAAGTCCAGCCGGTGGCTTGCTGCCACGTGCTGAAATCTGCAGCATTCAGAAGCATCTTCTTCTCTGCCAGTTTAGCCATGGCCTCGTGGATGGATTGGTCGGTCGCAAGCGAAAGCTTACTTTCTCGGATCTCAGAGGAACCGACCACGGGGAGCCCGCTGCTGTGCAGGATATCACATCGTGTGCTATTACATTCCTGCACAGCATGCACATGCGGGTGCCAGCATCCCCCTTGCAGCTCCATAGAGCTTTATGGGCACCACCGTCTTGAACGATCATTGACAAAACCACCCGGAAGAGGACGGGCGGACCTCCTGGTCGCTGCAACGATATGCACCCGTGCTCCAAATGGTTGGCCGGCCGCATGAATATGTCTCGCAGGATTTTCGAGATCCATTGAGAGACACCTGCTTCGGCCTTGGCCATCAGGCTGGATCGGAGCAGTCCTATGCATAGCCACGACTCCTCGTGCTGCAATGCATAGCTTCCAAGTTCTACGAACGAGGCATAGCAAGCCCAGATTTTTCTCTTCGTCTGGACTGCCAAAGGATTACCCGGCACGATCTCGTCCGTATAGAGGATCAGCCGCCACGCCGAGCTGGGGCTCGGAGGATTCTTGTCGATGCACGCCCAAAAATATTGGGCGAAGTTGCTGTCGGCATCCGAGATAGCAGCTTGCAGCAGAGCCCAAAAATCGACACTGGGTATCTGCAGCTCTGCACCATCTGTCTGCAAAAGTGACAGACGATTGAGGATCCTATTTTCTTTCAGGGGTTGCCAGGCAGCCTCGGCTATATGTTTTCTTTGTATGAGTTCCGGGACACCCTCGTCCCGGAGAACTTTGCAAACTTCGGACAAAGCCGAGGCTGTGAGATGGGGCAATTTCCTTCTCAGAGCACACCTTCTGAAGCTTCGCTGGTCTTTCAGCAAAAGCATCGGTGCTGCTGGAGGCCATGGCCCTATATCACCACGGCACCGCACCAACAGCAAATGCCGGAACATCTCCGTGGAGAGTTCCTTCTTCTCCCTGTGCCTGCAGCAGCAAGCAGCCACATACACGCCTCCGTGGAGGCTTCCACACGCCTCCGTGGAGGCTCCCACACGCCTCCGTGGAGGCTTCCACACGCCTCCGTGGAGGCTTCTCGCATCCTTGGATGCTGGGTCTCCATGGCAACAACAAACCAAGCTACAGGACGGGTGACACAACAAATGGCACCAGGAAGGGGTGCCTGTCTGCGAACACAACTGCACCTAACCTTGTCTGTGCTCGACTCTGGGCATCTGTACGCATGCTGCACGGCTGCTTGGGCCCGGCTTTCCGCTGCTCAGAGAACACATTTCGGCAGGCCCACAAAACCCCCAAAATATGATATAGAAAAAACTATATCATATGAAAACAAAGTCAATCATATGATATAGCAGAAACTATATCATATGAGGCCAAAATATTACATATGATATAGAAAAAACTATATCATATGACATCTGGCCCCACAGACTTAGATGATATAGTAGAAACTATATCATATGGCCAGCGAGGCCATCATATGATATAGAATATGCTATATCATATGGTTTCCTTTCAATATATATGATATAGAAAAAACTATATCATATTTTCTACGTTTGGAAAAGGTTCCAATCTTAAGGTTAACAGAAAATTATTCTTTAACAAAAACCCTAAACCCTAAACCCTAGAAGAGAAAAAAGCGCGGAGACACTCTTTTTTTCACCACACGGCAGCCGGCACTCTGTTTTTTTCGGAAGACGGCCAGCCGTCACTCTGTTTTTTTCGGAAGACGGCAGGCGGCTGTGCCGAGCTAGTACCGCTGCCTCAGCTCGTGACAAGCTATCTGAAAGAGGCTCGTCACCACTTTGCCGTAGCTCTCCGGGCCGCCTCCTTCGGGATCCTCCGGGTCCTTCTTGTCCGGCATTGGGACGTGATCACTGTCCCTTACCGGCGACTCCTGTCGCTTTCGCTTGGCCTTAGCCTTGCTGCCCTTAGCCTTGCTGCCCTTCTTCTTGTCCTGGCCGGTCTTGCCAGCCTTAGCTGGCAAACTCCTGGGCAAAAGCTTCACCGGCTTTCGATCCTCTTTGTCATCCTCGGGGTCAATCAGGGAGATTGTCTCTCCTGCCCCCGGCTTCTTTCTCTTCTTCGTGCCCTTAGCCTGCTCAGGACGGCCCTTCTCAGCTTCGGCATGCGCCTTGGCCCCCGAGGGGCCGGAGCCGCCTCTCACATCACCATAGCCATATCCCTGGCCCCTTGTTGCCGGAATCCCGCTGCAGCTCCCACTTTGGGACTTCGGATTCCTCTTCGCTCTCCTCTTCCCTCCCGGGCTGGCAGTGCTCCTGGAACCGGCGCTTTGCCCGGCCTGCAGCAGCCTCCTTGCTGAGCCCTTGGGCTATGTATTTCCAAGTTCGGTGAAACACCGACAATCGGTGCTGGCGACGGGCGGCCGCATGCTCCTGGATCCACCTCCAGCAAATGGGGCACTTTTTGGACGGGCCCTTGGGCCCGTCCGAAGGCTTGTTGTCCTTCTTCTCATCTGCTGCCTTCTCATTTGCCCCCTTCAATTTTTCATCCACCTCCTTGTCCTTTTTCTCTGCTCTCTCTCGTTCGCTTATCTTTTCATCCTTCTCCTTCTCCTTTTTATCCTTCTTTCCCTTTTTTTCTCCTTCTTTTCCTTTCTGGCCTGCTCTTCTTCTGGCCACAGTTTCCTCCTCAAAGTTCTCCTCCTCCTCTTTCTTCTTCTCGTTCTCCTCTGGCTTTTTGTTGCCATCCTCCTCCTTTTTCTTTTGGTCCTCGGACTCTTCGTGAGATCTCGACCGTAGTCGAGGATCTCGTCGTTCTTCTCTATCCTCTGAGCTCGAGCTCCTCCTCCTTCTATCCTGGTCCCGGTGCGTGGGCATGGCCGACGACTTCGCCTGGCCAGGACAAAAAAAGGGTTTATAGAGGATCGGGGAGGGTATAGGGTTTAGGGAAGATCCCTTAAGCCAGACTCTTTTTAGCACATGTATATATATATATACATATAGTATTTGGTGCATGCCGTGGCATGCACCCACGAGGAAACCGTGGTCTCCTCTCCCAAAGCAAAGCAAACCGTGGTCTGCTTGCTTTGCATGCTTGCCAGCAGATGCAAACAAACCTTGGTCTGCCTGCATTCTGCCGGCCAGCACGGTTGCCGAAAAGCAACCCCTGCATGCATCACTGACTAAGCAAACCGTAGTCTGCTAGCCAGCTCTGCAGGAGACCGTGGTCTCCTCTCACAGACAGATGGCAAACCGTGGTGCACCACAATTATAAGGAGACCGTAGTCTCCCGGCTTTGTCCAGGAAACCGCAGTCTCCCGGGCTGCCTATAGTTATATATCTATATCTGTATATATTGGAAGTCTCCTCTAACACGTTTTCTTTATAGGATATTATGCATTCTTCTCCTTCTGACCACTACACAGACTATACATTCTTTCTGGGTGCAATTATGCAGTCTTTGTTGTGCGGAAATACAGAATTGTACAATCTTGTCCTGGTGCATTATACAGTCTCCCTTGGTGCATGAGTTCAAACATGAATATGAATATACATATAATCTCTCGTGGTACGGCTACTCGCTCCAGCACCGCCTATGCCCGCGGATACGTTCCCTTTTAATCGACCCATCCCCTACACGGCCCTGTCGCCCATATTAGTCCAACAACTGCAAACCAAGCGGCAGACCTGCAAGCAAAGGTCAGACGACGTGGCGGTGGTGGTGGTGGTGGTGGTGGTGGTGGTGGTGGTGGTGGTGGTGGTGGTGGTGGTGGTGGTGGTGGTGGTGGTGGTGTTGGTGGCGGTGGCGGTGGTGGTGGTGGTCGCACCCCGGTTGCCACCCCCATCCCAGGACGGGGGCGGGGAACCGCTTTACGATTTCCCTTTTCGGGTGCGACCTGTGGCGGTGGTGGTGGTGGTGGTGGTGGTGGTGGCGGTGGCGGTGGCGGTG